TCTGAAGGCAGCCCTGTTTAGGGAAATTTTTAATGTTTGATCTTTTACTGTGTTTTTAATATCCTGTTGGAAGCCGCCCAGGGTGGCTGGGGAAACCCAGCCAGATGGGTGGGGTATTATTATGATTATTAATAATAATAATTACAAAGATGAAACTGGAGAAAAGGATATTAAAATGCATCTGCATATGTGCTGGACTCAGCCTACAATTTTCCATAGCTATGCAAAGCAGGATGTGTTGTTTTCAGGTTCCCACATTTTAGTACTTCCTCAAGTGCCCCAGAATTGTCTCCCATCTGAGAGCTGGCAAGCAGCGGTGGCAGCAATTAGTGGATAATTTAGGGGGATGCAGCTGGCCTACTTTGCAGGGCAGTTGTGCAACAGCTGCACAAGGAAGAATGTAAGCTCATACCAATAAGTTGGTCTCTAAGGTGCTACTGGAAGGGGGAAATTATTTTGTTTTGACTACAGCAGACCAACACGGCTACCTACCTGTAACTGTTCTCATTTGCGTGAGAGAGGGTTACAGAAGCGCTTCCTCACCCCAAGATCTTATGGATTAGGAGAGGAGAAAAATGTGAGGCCCAAGGCTATAATTACTATGACTACACCAGGATTCTGGTTCTTGCACTCTAGATTTCAATTCTGTCCATAAGTTTTGAACACAGATAGTTTTACTGTATATCAAGGCTTCCATTCTCCAGCTGCTAAACTAGCAGCTGGTGTTTACTTTGGGCAGCTGATATGTACTAGTCTCTGATACATACACACACACTCTCTCTCTCTTAGTTTGCGCATTACTCATAGTTTGAAAATCACTTTTGACTCCTGTAACGTAATTATGTTAATGTCAACTGAGTCACACAGAAACAGAAAGCTCTGTACATCAAGACTTGGTGTCGGTTTCTGAATACAGTGCACTCCTGTACACAGGAGGAGGGGACAAAATTGCCGGATTGTGAAAGTCATGCTAAATTACAAGCCGTGGCTCAGAAGGAAGGTTAATTTTAATTCAGGTTCACTGCAATTACCATTTTGAAAGGAAGATCAAGCAACTTTTTCCCCATTGGAGGTAGATTGATTAAACATCAGGGAAAGTTGGGACGCCTCCACCTTCTTGCCAAGCGATATTTGCAGAATAGGGTTCACAAACTGGCAAAGATAGGTACTGTATGCTTAAGCCCACGGATTTCAACAAGCAGAAGCCTGTCCAACTCTAGACTGCAATGTGGCTACACAGGCAGGACTATTCTTCATAATCAGCTATTGGAGCTGAGCAACACATTTCAGTCCTAGGCACACTTACCTGGGAGGAAGTCCCAAGTAATGGAGCTTATTTCTGAGTAGACGTGTAGGATTACACTGCACAGCAATGTATTAATTTAAACTATACCTATTAATGTCAAGTAGCTGGCTTTGGAAGATCTCTGAACTGTGCTAGACTGATACGTTTTTTGGTTCTGTAGTACAGTAAGCCTGCAACTTACGCAAGGTTCTGGGGATCGTGCCTGAAGGCAAAACCGCCTAAAGTAAACACACACTGGGTGCAGTGGTGGGTGGAATTGTCAAATTCTTTTTTTCCTGGACACCCAATCCCTTTTCCATTTTTGGTTTTTTATTTTGGGCAAGTGTGGAAAGCTGAATTCATCCATTACATGGGCACAGGTTGTGGGCTTACTGCACGTTCTCCTCAGAAGGAAAATGAACGTGTAAGGGTTGGTGTGTCTGGAGAAGTGGTGCGTATGAAACCCTATTATTTAAACTACAGTATCCTGTGGAATAGGTTGTTCCAATAAATTGACCTATTTCTGAGTCACACGGTGTCAGTACTTTCTTTTTCTTTTAAATTGGTTTTTATTAAAGATTTTCTGTGACACAAAGAAAACAAATAAACAAGGAAAATTGCATACAGCGCCTCCACTTTCAATTCCTAGAGTCATACAAATAAAGCATACTGCAACGAAGCTCTGGACCCTCTAATCTCTCACAATATAGGGCTGCCATATGTCAGAAACAGTGTCCGGGCAAAAATCGCTAAAATGTCCAGGAAAATCCAGGCATGTAGATTTTGGTTTTTAAATTTCCTTTTATGAGATTTTGGGGAAAACACTCAACAACTTTGGTGTCTGGATTTTCACTTTTTGAAATACAGCAACCCTCTCACAATGCCAATAAAAATAAATAACTATATAAATAAAGGACCTACGCATGAGACGTTGACACAAAAACCTTGCACAGACACTATGCAACAGAATGAAAAGATCATTATCCCATCTCCTGCAACCCTTTCCCTCCCTCCCTCTCCCCTTTCTTTCCCCCCAATGTCCATGGCAATACCGAACATAAATGCACAGTGTCCATACTTTTAAGGCAAAGACCTTTTCAGACCAATAGTTCCCTTCACAAACACACAGATAAACATGTCATGTTGTTAGCGGTGGTAAGCAAGTATGTATATTTTCTACATACAGAGAGATGGGTGTGTGAGTACAGTGGTACCTCGGGTTACAGACTCTTCAGGTTACAGACTCTGCTAACCCAGAAATAGTACCTCAGGTTAAGAACTTTGCTTCAGGATGAGAACAGAAATCGTTCAGTGGCAGCGGGAAGCCCCATTAGCTAAAGTGGTACCTCAGGTTAAGAACAGTTTCAGGTTAAGAACGGACCTCCGGAAAAAATTAAGTTCTTAACCCGAGGTACCACTGTAAATGTAGGAACTAGCCTCCTGCACAAAAGTAGGATTTACATTCACTGCTCCGCCTACTTTTGTTTCCAGCCCTAATCACCACTGGCATGTGGCCCCCAGAAGGCTGACAAGAAAGGAACGCGGCCCTTCAGCTGAAAAAAAGTTCCTCTCTAAATGTAATAGCCATGAAGGTTGCCAGGCAGGATCAAAGCAGCAGAATCCGATTGGGAGATTTCTACCTGGCCCTACCACTCTGTTCCCAACTAAAAATCTCTTCATCTCCCCATCTACTGTTTGCATCAGGAAGGTGTCCTTCATTGGCACCAAAGGGTGTGTCCTTCCCTATGCAAACAGCAGTTGGGGGGGGAGGAATTCTCAATAGGGCATTGGGAAGGAAAGAGCTAAGCTCCCCCTCCGCACACACCGAGCTGTGCTTCAATTTCACTTGTCCATATACGTCAGATCTAAAACAACAGACTGTAACATGTTGAATGAGTAGCATTCTCCCTTACTGACAGATTCAGAAGAATAGTCACGTCTGCCAAACGTAAATGACTTAAGGTATGTTCATTATTAGTGGCTTGAAGCATAATAAGGTCATTCTCTCCCTCTCAAGTCTTGGTTGCCATAGATCATGACCACACATCTCAAATTGGTCGCAATTAGACCATGCCAAGTCACAATACGCACCTGGAGCCCCGAGAATTTTTAACACTGCAGAGAGAGCGAGGATGCTGTCACTGGAAGTGAGGAACATTTTGGGTTTCCTTGCCCCTGCAACACGCAAACCCCAAACACCTATTTGTTAAGCTGCCACCTGACTTGCATGCTCATCTGTACCTATGCGATGGCCATTACGGTTTTCCTCATTTATTTATTTTTATCCCACCATTCTCCAAGGAGAGCAACATGTTGTATATGGCTCTCTCCCTCCTCGTTTATTCCCCCACAACAACCCTGCGAAGTAGGTTAGGCCGAGAGGCAGTGATTGGTCAAGATAACCCAGTGAGCTTCTTGGCCAAGTAGGGATTTGAACCCTGGTCGTCTACATCCTTGCCTGGCACTTTAACCACTGTACCACACTGCCTCTGTTCACAGTCCTGCAGATTCCTCCACATTGTTTTCTAATCAGGTTGAAGCTGGTTTGAGGAAGGAACATGTCCAGCAGCAGTATTTGTCACGGAACCATAGGATCAATATGGATTGTGGCTGTTGTGCGACGGCTGCGTTGAAAATTAGCAGTGGGAGCACACTGGATGTGGAGTACAGTGGACACCTGAGTTGCGAACGTGATCCGTGTGGAATGCACATTCGCAACCCGCAGCGACGCATCTGCACATGTGCAAAGCGTATTTTAGAGCTTCTGCGCATGAGTGACTGCCGCAACCCAGAAGTAAGCTGTTCCGGTACTTCCAGGTATCAGTGGTCCGTAACCCACAAAAACGCAACCTGAAGCGTCTGTAACCTGAGGTATGACTAATTGGAAAGGTGAGCATACCCATACAGAGATTTAAGAATGTGCTTCACTCGCTGCCACCAAAATCAGTGGTCCTTTTCACAAATTTCCGTAGGCTGAAATCCTAGACACACTTATTGGAGGGTACACACCATACATTTGAAGCACAGGACTTGCTCCAAAGAATCCTGGGAACTGTAGTTTGCCAAGGGTGCTTGGAATTGTAGCTCTGTGAAGTGTACGCTACAGTTCCCAGGTTTCTCTGGGGAAGCCGTGTGCTTCATATGAATAGTGTGTACACAGCCTAAGGTCCATTAGGCATAAGACTGCACACTAGAAATCTCATTTCTCAAGTGTGACACAGCTCAAATACAGAATATGGCTATTTGGTATTGGTGAAATAGCGGCATGCATATGTTCAGTGATATTTAGTTACCCCAAAAAAGCTCATTACGTAATTTAGAAACTCACTCCAGAGCATAAATTCCCACCCACCCGCAGCAAAATGATTGATGCCCTGACACAAAGAAACATTGAACAAAAGCAAATTAAGCCACTTCAAACAGATATGTGGAAACTGTTGACCTTCACAGGTCCTGGGTGACACCCCCAGATGAATCTCGTGAATGCCCCTCCAAAACGCACGCGAGATACCCTCGTGAATATAGCTTTACAATCTAAAGATGACCATCAGTGTTCATTTGCTAATTTCAGGAAAGGGGGGCAGGGGGGGGAATGTCTATTTTCAGGCATTTGCAAAAGTCATCTGTGATGTTCAACATTCAATGTTCACCGTTAACAGTCCCAAGCACTGTTCACACACACACACAACATTTACATGGATGTATATAGTATTACCTGGGAAAGTTGAGAGATGAGCCAGTTCCAGACCTGAAGCAGCCCTGGGTCTCTGGGAAAGCTGAGCTTCTCTCTTTTAGCCTGAATCCTCATCTCTCTTTCAAACCTCTCCATCTGCTCCCTTAGCCAGAACCTCAGTTAATGACCTAAATCTCCTTTGCCCCCCAGGCACCCCCCAAGTAACCAACTGTTGTTACTAAATTAGGTGGGAATATGAAATCATAGCATAGGTGACTAATATGCGCCCTATAATTCTCCACTACCCATGATCTAAATATGAAGCAACCGCATCATCTCGACCTTACGAGTGCGTGAGGGGCTGTATTTCACAGCGATGCCCTTTGCTCAAAAGATAACCTACTAGGGACAGCATCTGTCGTTCGAAACCGGTGAGACTGACATGAGTTCTAAATATTTTTGTGTGATCCTTTGCTCCTCTAACTACTTAAATCATTTTCTGCTTTTTAGTGTGTGGAAATTTACAGCCAGCGGCTCTTCCTTTACAATAAAAGACATGTCAAAAACAGCATTTAAAAAAAAAACAACGGGGGGAGGGGGAATCACAATGTTTAAAAAAGAAAAAGTCATGTTCAATTACAAAACTAGTGATAAGGAAGTTATTCTTAAATAAGTGAGTTATGAAAGAGGCAGTGTGGTGCAGTGGTTAGAATGTTGAATCCTTAGGAACAGGAAGACATGAGTTCAAAGCCCCACAATCATGAGGTTCTCTATGTGATTTTGGACAAGCCAACTTACTCTGCCTAACCTACCTCTCAGGGTTGTTGTGATGATGGAAGGGTGGGTGGGAAGAACCATATATGCCTCTCTGACCTCCCTGAAGGAAGAATGGGATATAAACAGTAATAAATCATAGAATCATGGAATCGTAGAGTTGGAAGGGGTCATCTAGTCCAACCCCCCTGCAATGCAGCAATCTCAGCTAAAGCATCCCTGACAGATGGATGCAATACAAACAATTCTGATTGTATTTTTAACACTTAAGTTTCCAGAATCGGGAATGCCAATATTACATGTGGTTGTTGTGGCGTCTTCTTCTTCTGTTGCTCATCAGCACCTGGTATTCAGTGACCTGTCGTCTGAACATGTTGCACAGAGTCATCACAACTAGAATTGTCCCTGAATTTGTCTAGCCAGTTTGAAAAGTCCTCTAAGCTTATGACCAGTACAAGAGGGGAGGCTCACCTGGCAGTGGAACGGTCATTGCACACCTTCAGGCAGCAGGCAAAAGCATTCTGTTAATCAGGCCTTTGGCTTTTAACTACCTATGACATTTTTGCCCCAGTGGGATGTTTCAACCTATTTTGTGTGTATGTGTGTGCCTGGTTTTAATTAATGTGTTTGTTTTTTTGCTTAAAATATTGTAAGTCACTTGGAGTTGCCATGGCAAAACAGTGACTTATTATTCTTATTCTTAATGTGGCAGCCAATCCCATAAAACAGGGATGGGAAACCTGTGGCTCTTGAGATGTCACATTCCAATTCCCATCATCCCCAGCCAGCATGACCAATGGTCAGGGATTATGGGAGCTCTAGCTCAAAAGCATCTGGAAGGTCAGTTAATTAACTATATGCTGTGTGAAACAAAGTTTTTTAACAGCAGCATATAAACAGAAAAGCATCAGTTTGGGCTAGTCAAGAGGCCTTTGGGTTTTCTACTCATATGCAGCAAAGCCATGGCATGCTTATTTATTATGGTTATATCCTATCTTTATTCCAAGGATTTTAGGGAGTATTTTCCCTCATGCTCAGTCCTCATAACCACCCTATGAGGTAGATTAGGCTGAGCAATATGGAGTGGCTGGCCCAAGGCTGGCCAGTAAGCTTCATGGCTGAATAGGGAGTTGATCCCGTGTCTTCCTGGTCCATGTCCACCACACTAACCGCTGCACAAGAGTAACACTGGACTTAGGTGCCCCATGGGATTCTCTACTGCAAACGTCTGTGACACATTTGATTTCAACCATATTATATAAGCAAGCCCTTGAGTGGTTACACACACAATCCAGCATGACCAATGTATTCTTGGCATCATTCCCAATGTCAGTGGAGTTTTTGAGTTATTACGGAATGACGGTTACAACTTCATCAACGTTGGTCAATATTGCTTTTCTCTCACACACCAAAGTATTAAAGTGTGGGATAGGCACACAAATTCCATTTTAATTCAAATGGCCCTCATAAAATGAGAATGCAAGGGAACACATAATATGGATCTTAGGCTGGCTGTTAAGCTACCTCCAACTGGTATGAAGAACACTGTTATCAGAAAATGTAACAGGCTTTTTAGAAGTTAACACTAACCAATGTAGTTTACAGCACAATCCTATACAAGTCTACTCAGAAGTAAGTCCCAAGGAATTCAATGGACCTTACTCCCAAGTAAGTGGATATAGGATTCTAGCCTTAGACTACAAACAACAATTTGTGTTCCAGATAAACTATGGTTCCTATCATTTCCCCTTTCTTCTGCCTTCCCTGAGAACTCCCATATACTATCACATTAACAATTATTTATATGCTGTCAGACTATTGGTGAATCTGGTTCAGTACGAACTACTTTGATTGGCAGCAGCTCTCCAAGGTTTCAGGTACAAGCTTTTCAGAGTCCTACCTGAAGACACCAAGGACTGAATCTGAGACCTTCTGTATGCTAGACAGATGTTGGACCACTGAGCTACAGTCCTTCCCCTCTGAGGGTGGCAAGGCAACACCCCAAGCCATGGTTTGTTGGTTTGGATTTCACATCAAACCATAGTATTCCCAAAGGGTGGAGTACAAAACAGTTTCAAACCATGGTTTCAGATCCTAGTTTGATTGCTGCATTTGCAACCTTATGGTGGAAGGTGCTTAAGAGCTTCTAAGTAGAGCACAGGCCTGGGAGTGTGGGGATCTGTGGACTTCCAGATATTTTGGCCTCCACATCTCTCTTGGCATGCCCAATGGTCAGGGAACTGTAGTCTAGGAACATCTGGAGGGCCACAGGTTCCCACACCAGGCACACAAGGACAGCGTATCCCTGTATTTTTTATCCAGCTACCAAACAATGGGGGCAGATGAAAGAGGAAGGCTGTTCACCTCAGGCTTGCATGTTTCCTAGAAGCATATGGCTGGCAACTATTGGAAAGAGAATGTGCAATTAAACTGGGGCCTTTGGTCAGATGCACAAGCCACTTGCGTCCATTGTAACCAGGCTCAGATTAGGCCAATAATCTGTTGTAGATTAAGGCTGTATTGTATGATTACATTTCTATCCCACCGTTTCCCCAAGGAACTCAAGGTGGTGCCCAGTATTATCCCCACTCCTCTTTTCATCCTCACAACACCCCTGTGAGGTGGGTTAGAAATGAGGGGGCAGTGGCCGACCCAAGGTCAACCGCCGGGTTTCACGGCTTAGTAGGAATTTGAACTCTGTTCTCTCTCAGCTCCTAGGCCACCACTCTAACCACTACACCACACTGTCTCCCAGGAGGTCTCTCATCCAGGCACTGAACAGACCCAAGACCTGTAGTCATATCCTGTTGCTGTTTTTTAACAAATTTTAACAGGGCTGCTTTCGTTTTTCGCTTTAAAAAAGAAACTCTTCATTGGGCACGTCGTCTCCTTTAAAGGCTCCTGACTGCCGCTTCCTTCTGCATTCGGAACCCAGAGCGGAAGGGAAAAGGTCACTGTCCCTTTAAGGGCGCCGCACGCCAGCGAACATTCCAAGCCTTCCCCGTCCCTCTTTAGCGCGTCACCGGCATTCCGGGAAGAGGTCGGCGTCGGCCCCTCTCCGTCCTTGACAAGAGGGGCTGGCGGCGACTCGAAACAAAGAAATATTCGCGTCGCGGAACAGGAGAAAAGAGGATTCAGAGCGCCGTCGCTTGCGCCCGAGCGCTTTCTGAGCGCTACGGCAAGCGACGAGCCCCCTTGCCCATCCGCACTCCTCAGAACTGGCAGGCCCGCCGCCGGGTGATGACTCACGAGGGGGCGTGGCTGCAAAGCCCTGTTTCCTTCTCTCGAGCTATGACTCATCGTTGACCGCGGAAGCCCCCCGCGCACGCGCAGCAGTGCCGTCTATTTATAAACCGGCCCAAGGAGGGTGAGTGATGTCATGCAGGCGGCAGTTGGGCAGCGACCGAGATTCGGTCTCGCCCCGCCTGTTGCCTAGCGCCCTAGCGGTGTTTACTCTGCTGGGGGCCGCAGGTTGCCTGGCAACCGCGCCAGGCCGCATGAGAGCGGGAGGGCTGTGGAGGGGGGGGGACACCCCTTAAGCAAAGGCCGCTCAAGAGGGGGACGAAAAGAAATAGGCCCTTAAAACCCTTTAGGGTTTCTGCTCATGCCCAGGAACACGTCCCTCATGTTGTTGGTTTTATTTAGAGGGGTTTTTTTGTCCTGCTTTTCAGCCCATAAAGAGTCCCAGGGTGGCTTACATATGTCAATAATAAGCATCTTCATGCGTATTATATAACACATATATAGCTAGGTGTATTCTCCATGACAACTTTAAAGTTTCTTTTTAAATAGTCCCAGGGAGGAATAGTAAAGCAGGTTCATATAGTTGGGTTGGGATGAGGCACGGCATTCTAATTCATTGAAAGGTATAAAGTGAAGTTATTTATGCTGGGTCAAAGAGTTTCGCTTCTTTTTGCCTAAAATACAGTGGAATGTTGGATTAACGTGTTTTTTAGTATATTTTAGTATACTATGTTTCTAAAGAAATGTTAATATGAATGAGTTTTGGTATTATGTGTTAGGTTTATTTGTAATTATTTATGATTATGTGTGATTAAAAACCAATACAAAAATCAAAAAGTTCTGGGCCGATATCATGCCTTTAAACATATCTGTGCTGTGACCGCATTTGGAAGACACTGTATAATTCTGGTTGACTCACCTGCCAAAGGATAAGGTAGAATTGGAAAGGGTTCAGAGAAGGTTAATCAAAATAATCAAGGGAATGGAGTGACTCTGTCAGCCATCATGGTGGCTATGATCAGCCTCCATGGTTAGAGACAGCAACGCTACTGAATATTGCTGGAAACCACATGTTCGGATGCTGCTTTTGGGTTTTTTACAGGCAGTTGGATGGCCACTGAGAGAGCAGGGTGCTGGACTAGTTGGGCCATTGGCCTGATCAAGTAGGTTCCTCTTATGTTCTTATCACTGATTTGCCTTGAATTAAGCCCTGGCAGCATTCTCTATGGGTGGGAAAACATGGTCATTGCGGCACACACTCAAAAATTATAATAGGTTTGGTTGTACCACGTGATGAATGTTTAAGATGGAATCCCAGTAGAATATTAAAATTTATTATTTATTACAACATTTTAAATCAGTATACATCTGTAAAAAGACATGAGAAATGGACCTTTAGGAAGGCAGGAAACGAAATGAAAGCTGAGGAACATGGGACCTGGGGTCAGATGAAGCAAGATTAGGAAAGAGGGATGATGAAACTGCAGGAAAAGGGAAAGGGCAGTGGTCCTAGGAAAGGAAGAGTGGAAGAAAAATTGACAGAGAAAAGAGCTAGGATGAATCTGATGAGAGTGAATCTTAGTTCCATTACTATCTCTGTCATTCAGAAAAGCAGCTGTAAAATATAAGTGGCCTGTGGCTCAGACAGATGTGTGAAATTCAAGAGAGAAATGGAGCTATTAATATATACTGAAGGCATGAACTATATAAATAAACAAATTCAATTTGTCCGTTATTTTTCACTGTCAGCTTCCCTAGTGTTCTGTTCATGCTCAGCCCTCAAGCATTTTCAGCATCGTTTGGAGCCAACGGAATGGCTTGGTGCCTTGGTGGTGAGCCTTGCTGTTGATTTCACAAGGAGTATTTTTTGTGTATTTGATGTGCCACCTATAGTGACTTGAGACAATTGAATCTGGGCAGCCTTGCCACGCCCTCAAGGAATGGATAGGACATGGGATTTGTATGTAAGTGTTTGGGATAGTGCAGGTCCGTTTGCGTAAAAGACAATAAAGAAGTAATAATAAAGGTTCCTAGATTTACGTTTTTTATGTCTGTGTCCTGCTCTGTTGATGTCTTAGAGCCAGTTAGATCCTTCAGTATGGGGTTGGTTAATCAATTGTGCAAAACATGGAGCTCCAATGTCTTACTTTTATTCCCAGAATAGACTATAAAAGGTAACAAATTATTTCTGAAAAGATTCATTTTTTAAAGAGTTAGAAGTAGGGGGGGGGAATAGTGCTGCCAGTTTTTCCAATTGCTTTCTTTGGATGTGATTGTTAATTTTGCTTGATATATCGAGCTCTATAAATCTAAGTTTGTCGCCATGTCTTTAAATAATACATATTAACCACAGATGAATTGAAAACTACATTAGAACAGCAAGGCTTCTTGGTTAAGGGCTGTTCATTTTGCTTTTGACACTTTGTGGGGGCCTTTATTTGTCAATGGGACACGGGTGGCGCTGTGGGTTAAAGCCTCAGCTCCTAGGACTTGCCGATCGAAAGGTCGGCGGTTCAAATCCCCGCGGTGGGGTGCGCTCCCGTCGTTCGGTCCCAGCGCCTGCCAACCTAGCAGTTCGAAAGCACCTTCGGGTGCAAGTAGATAAATAGGGACCGCTTACCAGCGGGAAGGTAAACGGCGTTTCCGTGTGCTGCGCTGGCTCGCCAGATGCAGCTTGTCACGCTGGCCACGTGACCCGGAAGTGTCTGCGGACAGCGCTGGCTCCCGGCCTATAGAGTGAGATGAGCGCACAACCCTAGAGTCTGTCAAGACTGGCCCGTACGGGCAGGGGTACCTTTACCTTATTTGTCAATAAAAAACGCTAATGCTATGTAATAACATGTAAAATAGGTATATAAAAGATTTGCAATTCAGTAATAATAAAAGAGAAGTGCCCTATATTAAGGACATAGGATGAAATCCAGTGTGGTAGTTCCACTAATGGAATGGCTTTTGATACAATAGAAGTGTCTGGTAACAGAAAAGGAGAGGAGGATTCTCATGGATTTCAGCTATCTACATAATCTGGAGGATCCCTCAACTGTCTGGAACAGGTTTTGTAGAGGGTCTGCAGTGGGAAGGGGGAAATGGAGAAAATTGCCTTCCTGCTTAACATTAGTGAATGGCTCTGTTAGATCAAAAGTTGTTCTGTGAGTGGGACAGCAGCCTTGGATTTCCTCCAACAGAGGCTGCTTTATACCCAGACAGACTGTTGATTCATGTAGGCAAAGAATTAAGGCTGCACTCCTTAACGTATGTCCTAGGGCGTGAGTACCATTGGACTTAATACTAAGTAAGAAATGCATAGAATTGCACTGCCAGTGTTACCAAATTAGTGATGAATCCCCATACAAATTGTGTGACACTATTCAGCCCCTATGATACTGTGTAGCAAATCCCTCTTCAGACACCTGTTCAACCTTCATTCTTTTCTGTTGTCAAGAGCTGCAGTAGGGTTTGGTCCTCCAAGAAGAAATAATGTTTTGGGAACATTTTCTTTTGGTTCCTTTATTTATGTGCCTGTGGGCAGGGGCTTGGAAGAGGAGAAGGAAAAGCTTCATTTTTCCACATGTAATATTCTGGGATTGCCAAGTCCTAGGAGCTATTATGTTGATGTAATGCCTCTTTCCTGTTCCTGGCTACATAAATAGAATGGACATTTGGATCACCCGTGATTCTTCTAATTTTAGTCCCTATTTCTCAGTTTTGTGACAAAAGACAGTGCTGATAAGATCTCTGAGAGTTTTCACGTGAGTCTCATTTCTTAATTTCCAAGAGCAGAAAACTGGAGATCCACGTGCTCATATCAGGAGCTGAAGTTGAACATTAACTTGAATCTTGCAGGCCAGCTCTTTTCCACTCTAGACAAAATGTGAGTCTACTGAAATCTACTGAGAATGTTTTTATTCCAGTAGCTATTCACGTGACAGAAGGTGAAGGACAGTGCAACAGTGGCCGAAACCAAACTGCAATCACTCAGAATGTAGAAATCTTGGGGTCTTATTAGCAGTTTTCTTTTTTTAAAAAAATCTGAATGTGGTGTTGTACTTTCACAAAATCATTCTTAGCGATTTCACCAGTATGAGTTTTCCTCTAACCATAAAAGGGCATGCATTTCTATCTGCACTGGAGCTGTTAAAAAGAAGAAAAGGAAACACTGCTAAAATTGATGCTTCACCACAGTCTAAGCAGCGAAAAGAAAGAAGAATTGAATTGGTGAAATTAACAAGGCTTCCCGATTTTCCCAAAGGGAAATGGGAGGGGCTGACCATCAGTACAGAAAGGCATTAATGTAACCAGCCATGTCATGATGGGACTATATCCAAGTACACTCATAGGGCAGCATGGGCAAACATCCAGTGTAGGCAATGAGGGCAGGGGAGGACAATGGCTTCTGCAGTAGCTGGAGGAGTGTCATGACCTTTAAAGAGGGGAAAGCTGAAGTTTTTAAAGGCCACGTGAACTGAAGTG